ATCAATCCATCCGTCTGTTTATCCGTCCATCCATCTATCTGTTTATTTATCAATCCATCCGTCTGTTTATCCGTCCCCCATCTATCTGTTTATTTATCAATCCAGCCGTCTGTTTATCCGTCCCCCATCTATCTGTTTATTTATCAATCCATCCGTCTGTTTATCCGTCCATCCATCTATCTGTTTATTTATCAATCCATCCGTCTGTTTATCCGTCCATCCATCTATCTGTTTATTTATCAATCCATCCATCTGTTTATCCGTAAAAAAGCACAGAGTAACTTGAGATATGTACTAAAGTTGTGAACAATTGTAAATATGTACTGTTGTGAACAATTGCAAGGTGGTTTAGAGATTTGTCTATGTTATTTTGAGAATGTCATCTCGGTTTCAAGAAATGAGCCAAACCAATCGAGAAAAACTGTAAAGTAACAATGGTTTGAACTAAAAGGCAAACACTGCAAAAAGTCCTTGACCCACTCAATGACGCCCCTGTAGTGTTTCTAATTTAGTGCACCATGAGCTTCAGACGTTTAATCAATGCATCTTGGCTATGACATCTCAATCTTAGACCGTAAGTAACCTGAAAGCAGATGCAGAATTTCAATCTCTCAGAAAAGCTGAAAACCCCTAATCACAAGCTGCTTATGTGCCACAAAAGCCAGCACCTTGCTTCCCTCGAAAAATGCGTTGCACCCAGGATTACTGCAATTATTGCTTTCTATATTCAGGAAGTTTTCAGACACTTCAATATGGATAAACAACTTTTGGAAAATGCGTAATAATGTTATTGTTGCCAGAGTTCAGTGCTGACATCGCCTCAAAGCGCATGCAGAATTATTTGTGATCCAAGGTACTTGGAAGTGCTTACACCAGCAGATCTCGTTCACTCTGAAAAGTGCATTGCACACAATGGGACCTTCGGATAACACATTTAGTTCATTATGCAAAGCATTGAGTTGTAGAGTTTATACATCTTCAGTGGCCCGCGTGTAAAAATGATCAATGGATCTAAACCTTAATTTCATTGTTTGTTTCTTTCTGTGTTGTTTGATTTCAGAATCGCTTCCATTTGCAAATGATGACACGAATGCCCCCTTCAGGGCTGACAGAGCTGCTGTTGGCTGTGCTGCTGAAGGGGGGCTGGCATGGTGGGGCAGCCGCTCTCTGTCCCGGAGAAGGCAATACTGGAATGCTACAAGATCTTGAACAACGGGGCCATTCGGGGGTGGATGGGGCACACTGGCACCTTTGGGAGACCCTCAACCTAACTCGACTTGAAGAAAATATAAATGAGGATAAAGTGCTGGAGCTGGTCGCCCAGCTCCTCGGCAGGACGCCCTCTTCACCTGCATCCTCTGCGGTGCTTTTCAGCTCTGATCCAGAATGTACAGCCACAGTGTTGCGCAGCGCAAATCAATTGGGTAATGCGTTGTACCCGATGCACTGGGTCATGGGATACCCCCTCAACCTGGACTCTCTACACTCCATTGGCTCGCCTCTGGGTCTTTTGGCTTACGGGGAGGTGAATCGCAAGCCTCTGAACTTCTACATTCGAGACACTTTGCAGCTCATTGGTAGAGCTGTGTATGCTGCTACTATGGTGAGACCAGACCTGGCACTGATTCAGAACATGGTCAACTGCTTCGACAAGCCCAACAAGCATGAGCTGCCCTCCTCTGGACAGTACCTTGCCAGGTATGCTTCAACCCTAAACTCCTTAGCTGTACCCCTTCCCTTGTCCCCTTGAAGCCAAGGTGTAGAGTGCCGATGTGCCTAAAGATAGAACTAAGGATCTGGATACAATATCTTGAAAATGGTTGTGAAAGGTCACTTCAGGTCATTTGTAATTTGTTAAACATCATCGTAATCAAAGAACCTTTTATGTGTCAAACACTATTGCGTAGCGCTAATACTATTAGGCTAACATTACTGGTAAAGCTATTTTTTTACCGGCAACGTGTGCAATGCCTTGGCAATGTCTTTTGTTAGCTTTCCTTTAGCTCAATTTGTAGAGCATTGTGCTAATAGCGCAAAAGTCATGGGTTCAAATCCCAGGGAAAGCAAGACCTGACAAATATGTGTTCATTCTTTCAAATGTAAGTCGCTTTGGATAAAACTGTCTGCTACATGCATAAAGTTGCATAAACTATAGAAGTTACAAAATGTTCGAGATACGAAAGGTCTAACTTGGGGGTGTAACGGTACGCTAAAATCGTAATCGGTTCGGTACAGTGTCTTGGAGAGTTCGGTTCGGTTAATTCGGTTCGGTACAAAACAATAAGAACTTACATAATCTTTGTTTTGAAAAGCTGCCAATACACAATAGAATTCTTGCATAAAATAAATAAAAGTGACACATTTGGGTGATATTTTAAATAAATTGCACTCTTTATAAAGAAAAACACATTTTTTAAATAAAAAATGAAATACTGCAACTAGTTAGGACCTGAAAACTTTTAACACTAGCAACAGCTTCAGCTTGTATATCAACAAAACTAACTTTTTAAGTTTTAGGCTAAAAAGATGAACCTATTAACATTTTCTGAGGAGAGCATAGATCTGGTTGCAGTGACAATATCTCCAGCAGTAGAAAATGTTGATGTGTTGCCTGCCCGATCTCCGTGGAACAATGTCGGCATACAACTTTACATTTATCCACTCGTCTATCCCCGTTACGTATTTTAACAGAGAAGCCAAAGTGTTCCCAAACAGGAGACCGTAGTGAGGTGGGAGGGTCTTCAAGCTCTGGCTTCTCTTTCAATGTTGCCATGATGCCATTTTCTTTCTCGTGCTCTGCTACTCGTGGCGTGCAGCTCTATTGTGCGTCACTCAATAGCGTCCGTGCGGAAACTCGCCTAGAAACATTGTTCCGCTGCGCTTAATATCGCGCTAATAATACATTTTTATTATTTAATAAAAATACAGAATACCGAAACGGTACGCAAGTGTCCCGAACCGAACAGGCCGTACCGAAGCGGTTCAATACATACCGTGAACCGTTACACCCCTAGTCTAACTGGAAATATTTTGCTTTGAGATTAAAAAAAATTCTATGATACGAAAAACACCAACAGTTCTGCTCTATTGTCTGCTTGTTAAATCTCACGTCACGCTCACTTTCGGGTCCTGGTGCTCCATTCTCCCATTGCAGACAGCGCTAAAGGGGGCTGATATGCTTTAAAACACTTTAATTATCGTATAGATTACCAATAATGTGCTTTAACAAATGTTAGAGTCTAGGCGTCGTAATAGAAATTACGTTTTTAAAGTGGAAAGTGCTGTTCTGTAGTGCAACTTAGAGAAACCCTGCAAGCCATTGCACAGATTAGGCGTTTAACACGTAAAACTTGCTTCGAGATATGAAAGCCACACTGGAATGGATTCACTTCGTATCTCGGGGTACCGCTGTAGTTTTAAACGGTCTAAATAAAGTTGGGTAATTACATTCTGTGTAGTTTTCAGTAACAGAGAACCACTACAAATATGTGGAATATTGAAATTGAGATTGAACTTGTACTCATTTTTTTTATTTTTTTTTTTATTGTACTTTCACTTTTGAATCGCCATCACGCACACGCCATATAATGCTGATTTTACACTGTGTAGGTGTCCGGTGCGTTTGCTTCCACGCAACAATCTTTAGGTAAACGTGCGGAGTCATGCATCATGTGGTCTCCTAACCCTTTCAGGTCCTTCAGTTGAAGTCCGCATACGACCTACATTTTTATTTCATTTCATTGACGTTACAGAGCTTACGTACGTTGCAATGTTTTGCTGTGTGGACTGTGGGATTTAACTATTTCTGAATAGCTGTAAAACATTTGTACACGTATCAGGATTTGGTTCATTTTTTGGGAGGTGCACCTTAGCTATGTGGGGGCTACACCGTAGACATTGCGTATAGTAGCTTTGATTGAGGAGGAGGGCTAGGGGTTGAAATGTAACTGTGTCTTTATTTTAGTATTTACATGCATTTTATGTTTAACAACATGACATATAATAATCAAAAAGAAGCTTTTCCATTTATAATTGGATTGACAATGATGGTGTTAGTTAAAAGAGGATTATTATACTCTATCATAAATAAAATTTTACCTTCTGACCATTAAGTGGTATCCAAATAAGTGGTATTATTGTGCCAAATTGTGCCAAACTGTGCCAACATGGATTACTCCTGAACTTTGTTCAATCAAAACCTGTACAGAATATTAGTTTCTTGTAGTATGAACACCAAACTTGCTACAGATGTCCTTGACATGTAGTGGTTACAATTGATTGTGTTTATTTGCTTCGTTACAAGTAAAATAAGGAGATATTGGAGGAAACATGTGTTTTTTTTTTAGGCGGAGTTCATTTTTTGGCCATTCCAACATCAATTACTCTTACCCAGTGTTCTTGACTGTCAAATTAACTCATCCACACCACTCCCCAAGAACCTATCTTCATTTTGATACCAAGATTTGCCGTTTAGACCTTGTAAAAGCTGAGAAATGCCTTAAAAAGTAAAAGTATAGGATTTTTGGAAAATATGCCTCAGGGCTTATGAGGTTAAACATATTAGGGGAGACTAGGGAATAGTTATTTCAAACAAAGCTTTTAATGTGCAATTATTAATGAGCTTAAAAGATTATATTTGTACTGTATACGTTTTGTAAGCATTTTATCTGGATCTATCATTTTGAGTGCGTTAACTAGCTTTAAATAAGGATTGCAAATATTGGTTTATCTACAATAAAGCGGTTTATTGTTTACTCTCATCACAACACGGATGACTTGCTTTCCTGTGGCTCTACCGAGGCCCTATTATTTTTGGTTGGGGAGAACAAGAACTTAATGTTCCTTCCTTTCATTTTAAGTCACTTCAGATAAATTCAAAAAAAGTACTAAAAAAACAAGTCAAATAGTTATGTTCTTCGTAGAGAGAGGAAAAGCCATGTCATGTTTTTGGCCGATTTACTCTAAATTATGCAGGTACACCTTCCATTATTCCAAGTCTGAAGTTGTGTACTGCGTACTCTTTGTCTTAACATTAGCCAAATCTACTTTAAAGGACAACTTTAAAGTAAGGCGGTGATTGGTAAGACTTTAGCACGGATCATTTAAGGATGTTTTTATTAATTTAATAAATTAATGTATTAATTTTCAAATACATTATTTGTATATTTTACATCATTTAACAAGTTTGATCATTTATTTACCTATAAATATGTTTGTTTGTTCTATTTGTCATTTTTCTACAAGCGTATATTTAAATTATAAGCTATGTTGACTTGAAAAGCTAAAAGAATGCTGGGAAATTTTCCATTTACTTAATATGAGGTCAAACTTTGTAAAACTGTAACTCAAACCTCATTGAAACAGCAAACTGACCACAATTGTCAGGGTCATCAGTCTCTGCAAGAACATAACAACCACTGTGCAAAAGTATGTGAACCCCAGGCTAAATTGATGGGTAGATATTTACCATTGACATAATGGCCGTTGAAAATAAATGGAAATCATGTTATGAAATCATGTTTATGTTAATCATGGTACCAAATTAAAAAGCTCCCTAGCAACCAAGCGTTACCATAGCAACCAAATCTGTTGAACTCAGCTTTGGTAAATGACTGAGACATGGGGTTGGTTTATAGAACTTATAGTGACAAAGGGAACATTCCTTTAGAAGTTCCTGGTCTCTCCATTGCAAAAAGTTTGTCATATCAATATCTTGGCATGGGAAAACCAAAAATTCTACTTTGGCAATCCATTGCTTTCAAACTGCACATTTATAACCCAACATGAAGTTATTATTACCAAACATTATATAGTTTATTATTTGCTTACAGTTTCATATATCGCTTATATTTTTATGCAGTTTCATATAATAGCCACAATAAATTAGAATACTTTTCCTGAACAGCACGGAATGACTGAAGAAAGGCTATTAGTTGCAATCTGACATGAGCAACAGTGATGTAGCATCAGGTGACGCTCCGCTGGTGTTGTTTGTCACATTATAAGTAATAGCACAGATTTCCCTCATTGACTTCAGTTCACATTTCTTATTAGCGTGTTGTCATTTAACGGCTTGCATGTGTGAAACTGTGACCTTAAAGGCCATTATTCAGAGTGAAGCTGCGCAGTGAAAATACACCATTAGATAAGGAAGGAACTATTCACGGTGTTTCGATCACACCTGTGTTACAAAGATGCATTTGTTAGGCTTTTAGCTAAAAGTGTTGCCCATCTTCAATGTTTAGATGAGGCTTGGGTTGTTTGAGATTATCGGCTAAACTCAAGACCTTCAAGTCTTGTTACTCACATTAGGCCCTGAGCAGACTGAAAGCTGAAGTGTCACCACACCCCTGAGACTCAGTAGGGTGCTTTCACTCCTCAGTTTTAAAAAAGGCATTGTTTGCTTATACAGCTCTCAGCATAAGTTAGTACACGTCCTTTAAAAAGTATAATAATCAGCAGCCCAATGAACAAAAGAACAATTTCCAGAGTTTTATTGAACACTTTTTTAACTCCATAACATGAAACTAAGGTTAATAATCAAACTTAGATCCCAAAATGAGCATTGTGATTTTTGATGCCATCACTAAGTCTTCTAGGTATGGACTGAACAAGTTGGCGACAGATGGCAACATCTATCATCAAGAAGAACGTCTGGTAGAGTCTAGAGATGCTGGATAGAGAGCGATGGTCAACTTGTCTTCAGATCAAGAGACACTGTTTTGGAGCATTGTCGTGTTGATGGCAGCATCTTCTCCTTCAGTATAGAGCAGTAAATTGTTAAGTTCATGATGCCATCAGCTCCCCAACACCATGCAGCCCCACATAATGACACTGCCACCACCATGTTTCACTGTAGGCACCAGGGATTTTTCTTTGAAATCCTCACCTTCTCAATGCCACACCGTTTTAAAACCAATAGTTCCAAAAACAGTAATCTTTGTCTCATCACTCCAGAGTTTAGAGTCCCAGCAGTCATCTTTTCCAGGATGGCCCCTCGTTAAGTCCAGGCGTGCTTTTTGTGCACAGGCTTTAGGAGAGGCTTCCTTCATGGAAGATGCCATTC